CTAGTGAGCGCAGACTATGGAGCCTGCTGGTTATGCAGTTGGGTTCATCCGAATTGCTGGTGTTCCAGGCTGATGCTAAATGTAGAAAGAGAGGGGTTTTTGTTCAGAGTGTGTTTCCAGAAACGGCACAGCTAGCACAGTTCACAGTATGGTACATCTGCATTCACGCAGTGGGCAGCTTCGGGGCAGTCACACAAATAGAGCCAAACTATAATGCGATGTGATCAAGTAAGTCTGCACAGTAGTGCGCCCCGTAGGTTCACAGTAATCTGTATCGCCAACTGCGTTAAGTGTGGCTGGAGGGGTCATTATCGAGTAACGTAGCTCCTTCTTCGAAGGGTCTGCATGCTGTCATGGCCCTGGGCCATGCAAAAATGTAATGTTGAGGATTGTAAGTCAAGGGTTTGATGAGCATCTTGATTTTCATTTCATCTCTTCAAAATCTAAGAAACTGGAAGAATTAGAGAAAGAGGAAGAGCTGAGAGAAGCTGCTGGAGAATATGACAGTGAACCAGAAAGTGAAGATGAAGAGATGATGGAAATCCGACAGTTGGCACAACAGATCAGAGAAAAGAAGAAACTGAAAATCCTGCAGTCGAAGGAAAAAGATACTCGAGGTCCGAGGATGCCTAGAACAGCTAAAAAGGCAAGTATAGAACACGTTCTGTAGTAAAATCTTGCTGATGTATAATGACTTTATGAAAACGTATGACGATATCGCGTAGTGGAACTGATTGCTTTTTCTCATGTTTGGCCCTCTCACTTGCTACTTGCTTCCTTCTGTGCTCCTGGGAGTTCTGGTCACGACTTAGTTGTGGAGGCCAAACCAAATGCGTGATAGTAGCCCTTTTTGTTTTGTGTCACACAGATTAGTCTTTTGTAAAATTCTATATATATTGCAGAAAAAGTTTTGAAGAATACAGTTCAGCTCGTTTAACTGGGTTGCTGCATTGTATATCAGTATTGTTTTTGTTCATTTGTTTGTTTTAAATTCAAATAATGAGGAGAATTATATAATTACTTAAAATCACAATCGTGTAAAATTTGTTACGGGGCCCTCCCTGTGCTGGAAAAGATTGTGTGTTCGTTTTTGGAAGCTAGGTGTCACGCTTTCTAATGTCAGAATCTCTTGTGACCAGTCCAGGACGATTGCAAAGTAATAAACTGATAACTAGACATTCTGAGAAAATGAATCTAGCTGATTTTGCACCCAGCATTGCTTATCTTCCTCAAAGCGTGTGCCTTTTGGGAGAGAAGGAAACCTTTCTGACTGAAATACCTCTCTTTGCCACCTTCCCCCCAAAAAGGCAAACTATTGGAAAGATCTTTAGGGAATGTTGGGACATTGCAGTCCTGTGAAGAAGGATTTATGGGTGAAGAGAATTAAGTTACAATAAATGAAATGTGAAGTTACGACTTTCATCATCTGCTGGGATGTGCCAAAGGAATAAATATGTAGCAAATATAATGGGCTTATGGTGGCATATTAAGATAAAAAATAAGATAGAACCATACTGTTTTGAAAGAAACATGTTTTCTTAACTGTCTTTTTACAGGTCCAGCGGAAGGTGCTAGAAAAAGAAATGACTGATCTTGGACTCGACATGACTAATAAAGATGATGTAAGTTTTTGCTAATTAAACACAATGTTTATCTAAAAGAGATCAATTTCATTACATGCTGAATTTCTTTGAGCGCATTTGAAATGCGTATTACAGTTGGCACAAGAGAGGTGGGATTTGTTAAGGAGAAGGTAGGAAACCCAGATGAGGCAGTCAATACTGGAGTTTTTGAATGACGTGATCAAAACATAGTGGGTAGGCTGAAAAAAATAAACTAACATTCATAAAGAATCAAATATATATATGCACTGCTTTCTATTAGAACTCTTGGAATTTATATAGAATTCAAGAATGGGGTTTGGCTAAACATATTTCTTAATTTTCAAGTCTGCTTCATTGGATGAGACACTACTGTGTCAAAAGTAGTAATAAAGACAGACCAGGCTTATCTTTTTACAGCTTATTAATTCTGTGAGTTGTAATTGAAGTTTTTGAGGGCAGCTGGCATCTTCAGATGCAAGGCAGCTGAAGTACTTCAAACAAACACAGATTTGCCTTCGGGAGACATTTCATTTTATCAGAAATGAAAAAAAAATCCATTTTGTACAGCAAATCCAGCAGTATTATGGCTATCTAGATCTTCAGACCTCAAATTCATTCACTAAACGAGTTAGGAAACAAGGAATGTCAACACTACACATCCGAAGCAAGCATTTATGCTTCTCAGAGCTGACGTGCCTTGTTGATTTAGGAGCGATCTCGGTGAGGAGGAATTTCATACTGAGGCTGTAGGATGGTGAGTCTTCATGTCTGAAATTCCTCAGGGCTTTGTCCCGCCAACAGGACACTAATCAGGGTAGGTTTCCTCACTGCTTTTTTGCTGTTGCAAAATTGCTTCAATATTGCTATCCATTAATTGTCTGTGTCTTTTTATCCATTACTTGGGAATCTACTCAGAAAAAATCAGAAAACTGGAGTTAATAATTGTGAAAAGAATATGCTAATATTCACCGACATTTGAATATTGCTGTAGGACAGAAAGGCAGTGACCAACAGTTGACAAGGTCTTTACGTTACTATGGAATAACCAAAATAATGTATCACAGCAGCCCATTCCCTGGTTTTCTGTGGTAGTCTAATTAGAAATGGAGCATGTCTGAGCCGATTGTTTCTGTTTTTAATAATTAAAGTGATGTTTTGGATTTCAGGCACATTACGTGAGAAGGTCCCGTAGCGTTACAAGGAAACGTAAACGTGATGAGTCTGAAACCCCTAAATCTGTGGCACGCAGTCGCAGCTCCTCCCGCACACCACGGGATGTTTCTGGACTTCGTGATGAAAAGGTTTGTTAAAGTTGTTTACCTTTATAGCAATTAAAACGGCACGATTGTACTTAAACCAGCTTCTGGGAAACTTCATACTGGGCCGGTTATGTTTGTCAAGAGTTTATCTTCCTTCTCTTGGCAGCTTCGTCTTCTGTTGTTTTGAACTCTCTCTACTTCAGAAACGCCTAGTTCATTCTTGCAGACAGGCTAAGAAAGTACATTTTAAATTTTTGTCTCTAAATGCAAGCACGAAGGAAGAAACTGTGGAGTTCCACCTTTAGTAAGTTAGGAATTCCAGGGATAGCGCGATCATATTATTAGTGTACTGGAAAGGAAGAGTTGCGCTAAGGGGGGTTAGCGTCACTTGCGGTGATACTGCTCTAGAGTTGCAGATGGTGGCCTATGTTGGGTGTTAGTTAATGTCCTCGTTAAAACCATCCAGCTTAGTGGTTTTTTAAAAGGTAAAGCTAGTTACCTGAGTTACTGAGGAAGTTACTCTGCATGTGTGTTTGTCTTTAAATAGATGGTGAAGAAGGTCAAGATTATGGCAAAGAAAGCTCAAAAGAAAATGAATCGCATGGGCAGGAAAGGAGAGTCGGACAGACACATATTTGACTTGAAGCCAAAACATCTGCTGGCTGGAAAGAGAAAATCCGGTAAAACACAGAGAAGATAAGCAGTCTTCTGAACAAAACTAATTAAAACTAAGTTTATTAAAACTAATTTCGAGTCCTGTCTTCCTTTTTAGCAAAGAAAGCTCAAAAGAAAATGAATCGCATGGGCAGGAAAGGAGAGTCGGACAGACACATATTTGACTTGAAGCCAAAACATCTGCTGGCTGGAAAGAGAAAATCCGGTAAAACACAGAGAAGATAAGCAGTCTTCTGAACAAAACTAATTAAAACTAAGTTTATTAAAACTAATTTCGAGTCCTGTCTTCCTTTTTAGTAATACAGAGTGTTAAAAAAGTACATGGTTAAGATACTTGAAGCCCAGAGAGGGAAAGTTCTGATACCTTGATCTTGCAGTTCTAAGTAATACCATGAGAAATTTGTTGGTACCAGTGGCAGAAACCATTTCTAAATAGACACAAAAGATACCACTTCATTCCACTTTCTTACTACTGACTTTCACGTAGTAGTACAGCATTTCAAGTTCTATGTAAAACTAGATTTAAAATGAGGTTAAATCTAGGAAAGTGAAGTATTTGTTAACGAAGCTACCATCAGAATTAAAAATGCATAGCTTCATAAGGTACTGCATCAGTAAGGTTTGGTTCTCTCTGTGCAAGTTAGTTCTTTGATGTATAGTAAGCGATGAGTTTACGCTGCAGGTAAAGGCTGGAATTGGTGGGGAAGTAACGGGAGACTTGACGAGTACTTCGCAAAGTTAGTGTGCGTGCACTGAACCGGTGCTGAACGAGTGGGAGAAACGCCGCCGCTTTACTAAGCTGAACGGCGACTGAAGCTGGAGGAGCACTTGCGGCTCTAGCACTGACCTGCCATCTGTAATAACCTGGGCACCTGCGGTAACCTGAAACAGCACGGGCAGGGAAGGTTACAGCCGACAGCTTTTAATGTTGCGGACTAATATTAGTATTTCAGATACGTAGACAATGAGGATCAGACTGAAATTTTGCCCGGAGTTCATGTCAGTTATGCTACTGTCGTCCCCTGCTTAGGAAGACATTTTCTCTTCAGAGGCTGACAGACAAAAGTTCTGTATCTGTTCCAAGGCAAAATATATTGTCAAATGCGAAATATTCCCTTTTTGCCCCCAGCTGGTCAAGAACAAGGTAGGAATTATCTAGAGGTTAGTAAAATTACGCGTTATAAATGTGTTGCCTGAGCAATACACTTAAAATGCAGTTTTAAAGATTAAACTGGAATCCAGTGAAATATGCATGTTAAAAACAAACCAAAAAGGTAAGGAGGAAGAACCCTTAAATTATTATTTTCTTTTTTTTTAAACTATTTTTAAATATAACGGGGTAAGAAGAGTGTTCAGGTGTCAACTTCAGCATATTGGAGCATTGTGTGTAAATCTATATTGTTTCCCTCATTACCTCGTGTAACAAATTATTAAAAACACACCGTAATGCTGCAAAGGAGTTCAATGTCAAGAAAAACTTTATTGTCAAAACTTTTAAGGGATTTTGAAGAACTGTTTAGCAAAACTTTGCTTTCAGCTTCCTTATGCACATTATTTCTACTTCAGGGTACGCTTTGTCAGCTTCTGCTCCAAGCTGGCCATTTGAACTAGAAAAGTAGAACTTTGTTAACAGAAATTCATGCCCTGCTACCCCCAATCATACTGCTTCAGCGACCTTTAATAGGCATGGTGGTGTTTATAGCATAGTAATACTGCTGAGATCATTCTCCGTGTGGCTCAAAGTCTGGAAAGAAAACAACAGTCCAAGGTTTTAGGTTAGGTGTTTTAATCATAATCTTATCTTTAAGATAATCTTTTATTTTAAAAGTATTTTAAGTATTTGAAAAGTACTCTAATGTATTAGGTAGGTAATGTGGCTGATTGATTGCACCGAATTCAGGAGCGCTGTTACACTGCATTACTGTTCCCTCACTCGCTGTTACTTGCTTCAAGACAAGACATCAATTCATGTCAGCATGCAACCACTTGGCTCTAAAACCTCTAGGTGTGAACCGCTGGAGATGCTGGCATATAGAAGCTTCAGTGCTGCAGTCACAATCGGGATGAGAAAGAGAAACACGTTAACCACTGGAAAAATTCAGTTTCACCTTGAAACCAGGCACAGACTAGTCACAACAGTGTTTTACATGCAAGGAGAAGCGGCATGAACAACATCCTATTTCATCAAGACACCTCTGGGAGAAGTTAAGAAATCTAGATTGAGTAGTTTGCTAACAGAAGAAACCACAATTAAGCTGGTTTTTTTTTGGGGGGGGGAAACCCCACAAACCCCAAAAACTTTAATTCAAACTGTGATACCCTTGATTATTTGTCTTACTAAAAAAAGCCTTCCATTTTCCTCTTTGTTACTAGCAATTGACTGCAAGATCAAAAAGGATTAGTTCTCGCACTATGGTACAATTTCTGATTAATGAAAATTAAGACCTGGTGTGAGCCCATAAATTGTCAGTCTTGAATTTTGGAGTTCAAGGGGTTTGAGTTGTTCGGGAATGACTATTACAGTAGATGTTGCAGGAAAAAAAGCTTGTATCAAGATGCCTTTGTTTCCTGGAAGATGGAGGAGAGTCATTTAATGCATATCCCTTCTCCAACGACTACAATTTCTGATTAATGAAAATTAAGACCTGGTGTGAGCCCATAAATTGTCAGTCTTGAATTTTGGAGTTCAAGGGGTTTGAGTTGTTCGGGAATGACTATTACAGTAGATGTTGCAGGAAAAAAAGCTTGTATCAAGATGCCTTTGTTTCCTGGAAGATGGAGGAGAGTCATTTAATGCATATCCCTTCTCCAACGACGCTACTTCCTATATTAGATGGGCACCGCCTACCTTGGGTGTAATTAACTTTTTTTTTTTTTTTTTTTTTTAAGAGATTCCAGTACTAGACAAGAC